TTCATGGTCATAGAAACCCTGCTTAAATAGTCTTTTAAATATCTTCTTAAAATTATTTCTTATCGGTAACGCAATACATTGTATTATAAAATATGTAAAACATAGCGGAAAAAACAACCATAATCCCATCACCCTTGTTATAGTCTTTTTAGTATGAATTTTTAATGGCAACTTTATATCCTTTTCCCAATTAAAATTGCATTGTAAACAGTTTTCTAAGTCATAAAGAATTATTTTATAATTATTATGTTAATTATAATAAATCCCATCAATGATCCTCTCTTATTGTTTAACATCTGTACAGTTTCTGTGTGTGTATGTATGTGTGTTGGCTTTTTAGAGTTGGAACAATGGCCCTAGTGCATGGCATTTTTAGGGTTTTACTTCCCTGTGTGTAAGATGTCTTTTGTGTGTTGACTCAGATATCTTGTGTAAAGGTCAAAAGATACAGAGAACAAATTGATTGTTGCCAGATGGGAGAAGGGAAGAAGAGATGGGTGAGAAAAGGTGAAAGGATTAAATGCACATTGACAGTCATGCAATAGTCATGGGGATGTGAAGTACAACATAGGTAATACAGACAATAATATTGTAATAACTATGTATTGTGTCAAGGTGATACAAGACTTATTGGGGTGGTCACTTAATAAGTTATATAAATGCCTAACCACTCTGTTTTACACCCAAAACTAATATAATATTGTATGACAACTGTAATTGAAACATTAAAAAGTTTAAAAATAAAATAAAGTACTCTAAGTATGCAAAAAAAAAATCTTTTTATCCCAAACATAGTTACTGACACATGGGCACTCTTTAAATTGAGTAATTGAAAACATAAACAATTGAATGAATGAATGAGTCAGCCAATCATTAAATCATTTAGAGGATGAAATCAGATAACACATATGATAGGGTGATGCAAAACTCTCAGCAATTAGCACTTGTGACATTGCAACAGTTCCTGAACACCATATTCTGGGATTGGCTGTGTCCAAATTCCTAGGGAGCTAGAATGCAGGTGGCCGGGCCTGCCTCCTGAGGCCTCTGAGTCAGTAGGTCTGGGGTGGAGCTCCAGAATCAGTATGGTCAAAGTATTTTGTAGCTTGAGAAAGGTCAGGCTGGGAACTCTAGCACGCCATGCTGTTTCACCTGGCCTTTATTGTGCCCTGCTCCACTCTGCATACCAAAGGTCATTGCTCTGTGTGGTCCTAGTCTGGCAGGAAACATGGCGTGGACAGAGCGCCCCAGGCCTGCTTGGAGGACGTGGGGGAGCTCTGCCATCACCTGGCTGTCTCTAACTCTCCCTGAGGTTATTGACAGGGAAGACATAATGAATACAAGGAGCTGAGGGCAAGCTAACTGTCTTTGGATCAGTACAGTGTTCCTAAAAATCGCTGTTGACCTTCTTACGTATTGTAGTTTGTGTTCATTTTTTTCTTGTTTTTATCTCTTGTTTTTTCTTGACTTTACAAATGGGGTGAATGACACTCCCCTATTCAATTATAGGCTGTAAACATTGGGTTTGGAATTTTCTAAAGCACTCAGCTCATGACTCTGTAAATACTTTCTGTGGATGATGTTATCTTACAAAAAAACCAGTTGTGACAATGTAACAGAAGGGTGGTGGTAGAAGCTGGCCAGAGATAGCCTAACTTTAGTCCACTTTCTTTGGTCATTTACTTAGTAAACTCAGTACTAATTTCCCTGGATTCATACACAGCACTCTGCGGCTTTATAGCATGTGGCTCCAAATATACATCAGGGCAAAACCAATGAGACAATATCATCTCTTTGGAGAACAAGTTCTAATTCTTTGTTAAGTCTTCTTCTCAATCCAAGCAGTTCCCGAACACTTTAGCATCATTAAAAATAATTTTTCTATTTATTAACTTAGGATATGATAGTTTTTGACTGAGCAGGAATTGATGCTACACAAAATTGGTATGTCATAGTTAAAGCAGGGGCTGAGGCATTCTGGGCTCAAGCCCTGCCTCCAGCACTTGCTATCTGCTTGGTTAGAACAAATTAATTAAACTCTTCTTGCCTCAATGTCCTCATTAACAGGATGGGGATAATTAAACCTCCCTCGCAGGTTAATCTGGTCATTATTAAATAAGGTAACATACCAGAAACTGTGCAAAATGCTTGGTACATAAGAACCCATCAAATGTCAGCAGTATTATTATTCAATTAGTGAAGACACTTTATTGGAGCCACTCCTAAGTGCACTCATATGACAAGATATCATAAAGTATTATCAAATTAAAAATGTAAGTGTAATATGTAGTATGAAGTTTTGTAAACAAATTTTAAAACTACTTATTTATGTTTATGTATATGTCTATATGTGTATATTGGGTGTATGTGCATGTATTCAAACATAGAAATACATACAGAAAAAAATCTGTTAGCAAGTGATTATCAGTGAAGAGAAAGCTTAATTTTTTATTTACCTTATTCTGCCACATTTGGATTTCTGAAATCATTTATTAATAGGCATTAACATGGTTTGAAATCACATGTGATCATATATACAATTAAAAAATACTGAAACAAGATAAAATATAATAAACCAAAGTTTATAATTTAAAGAGTTATACTATACATATTTTTTCTGACTATATGTGCGTGCATGCATGTGTGTGTGTGTGTGTGTGTGTGTGTGTGTATATAAAATACAGTCATTGTACAAGTAGCCCAAGAAGCTTAGTGTTCCAGGGACAATTTTCACAGCTACCTTTCTGGATTTTTATAACCCGTGTGATAAGAGCACACCTTGCTACATCCCTGTCTCCTCTGCAGCCCTTCTCTCTGAATTCCTGTTAACCTGAGAGTTTGTACCATTTCATTTAAGAATTTTTAAATATCCCTGTAATTTGCTATCTTCCTGAATTAGATGTGCTAGTCCTACCTCGGAAACCCCATTGTAAGCTCTTTCAGAGCGGGGATTGTGTCACATTCTCCAGTGGTTCCACAGTTGTTGACACAGAAGAGGGTATGTAGCACGAGATTAATAAATACCCATTGACTGAATGGCTGCTGATCTGGTGTTAGTCAGGATAAGCCATGCTGGGCTGAAATAACAGCTTACCCTGGAGATTTCAGTAGTTTCACACAAAAAAGGTTGGTTTCCTGCTCGTGACAGACCATGTGAAGTGGCAGGGGCCCTTCTCTATTCAGTGACAGGGATCTAGGCTTCCCCCATCTTAAGAACCACATGTGGTTTCTATGTTTGCTGCATCAGGGAAACGAAGGATGGAGAAGACATGCTGTCTCTCAAGTGTCCTGGGCCACTTCCATTCAATTTCCCATTTGTCAGAAATCAGCCCCATGGCTCTTTCCAGCCACAAGGAAGCTCAGGAAAAGTAGGGGAGCACACAGATGCTCAGGAGCACTAACTCTGTGTCTTACCGGTCTCTGTCTTCCTCCAGAATAACTGTGCCAACTCGTTAGCACCCTATTGGTATCAGTGGGACTGACGCGCACGTGGATCATTAAACTTGGCTCAGTTTATGTTAGTAACTGTATATGTTAGAAACTACTAGGATTCAGAATTTACTCATTCACCACGCATTTATCAGTGCCTACTGTGTGCCAAGTGCTAGTCTAGGTTTGGGGGAGACAGCAGGGAGAAAAAAAACAGTCAAAATTCCCTGCACTAACAGGACTGACTTTCTAGTAGACAAAGGTGAACAATTAGCAATATCTGAGCATGCATATTAGTTGGTGATAGATATTGAAGAGACATAAAGTGTGGGAGGGTAGGGCGTGTGTTAGTGTGGAGAAGGGGGTTGGATTCTAATTTTAAATTGATCAGGGAAAGCCTCACTGACAAGGTAATATGGAAGCAGAAACATAGGGCTGGGGGAGCCAGCTTTTTGCGTATCAGGCCAGAGAGCCTTCCTGGAAGAAGGGACACATGTGAAGATGCCAAGGCCGGGCAGGGAGTGCCTGATATATTTGCTGAATGGCGCAGAAGCCAGTGTGGTTGCAGTGAGTGTGCAGTGAGTCGGGCTGGGGTAGCATTAGGGATCTACTGAAGACAGCCTGTGTAGAACCTTCTAGGTGACTTGGGGTCTGTGGCTTTTGCTCTGTGTGATATAAAGCCATTTGGGGAGTGACATGAACAGTCTGTCCACTATGTTGGGAATAAACTACAGGGGCAAAGGTAAAAGCATGGAAACCAATTAGAGGTTCTTGCCAAAGTTCAAGTGAAAGGTGGCGATAGCTTGGACCGTTTCCATCACCCCAAAAGCTAAGGAGAGAAATTTTAAAGAGGAAATGTGATGCACAAATATGAGATAGTTTTTGTGAATAAGATGTTGGCACGAGCCCGATTGTAATATCATTTATTATTATCATGAGTCTGCAATTCTCTTTGTTGGACCACAAACATTTATTCATGGATTCTACAAACATTTATTCAATACCTATGGCATGCCAGTCCCTCTGTTAAGCCCTCCGGATAATAGAAAAGACCTGACCTCTATCTTTGGGAAGAGTTCAGTAGGATTATAGAGATAAACAAAAATATGTTGTCAGCACTAAAAAACAATCACAGCTGTAGCAATAAAATCATTCTATAACAATGATGGAAATATTAACCAAACTTATTGAATGTTCACTATGTGCAAGACATCTCTGTGGATATAATGATTGTTGTTATTATTATGATATGATTATTATAATCATTATTTGTCAATGCTCTTCTTTATAGTCAAATTAGACTGCTACAAATTTAGAAAACTAATAACTAAAAATCTAATATAACAGCCTAAAAGTGTTATTTTTGTGCTCTGCAAACCCATTACCAAGGATATTGCCACTCTAGTACCTATTAAAATCTCAGCCCAGAAAATGCATGTGCCATTTTTTCCAAATGTCTTCTTCCCTTATAATACATAAAATCGTGTTACTAGTATCTAATAATACTGATTTGTCGACCTATTCAAATCTTCTTTATTGCATGTGTTTTCTTCTTTTGATCTGCCCTGAAGAAGGTTAAGCTGAAACCACTGCTCAGCTTCCAAGATGTTGTCTCCCAAATTGCATGCGCTCTTCTGCCTCTGCAGCTGCCTCACCCTGGTTCACCCTTTTGACTGGCAAGACCTAAACCCTATTGCTCATTTTGAACCATCAGGTAAGAAGTACATTTATTCAAGGCCTGCACAGCTGACCTGTTGTCAGACTCAAAGTGGCCTCAGAGAAGTTGGCCTCTTAGCCAGTTTTATCAGGAGGGTGCTCATGGAGACCCTCTGTTCACCTGCGTCAGAAGAGAGGGCCCCACTTTCTCATTCCAAGACCTGTCTTCTTCAAATATCATAGATGACTCCAGGACAAACTGAGAGCTCGGTTTGCAGCCACATGAGGAACTTCCCTCCCTTGCACCCATAACCCACTCTCCCTCCCACATAGTAATAACCCTACTCTCCTGGAGCCCTCTCTGAAGGAACTTCAACACCTGCTTCCACCCAGGACAAGAAGAGGCAGGTGTCATGCTCAGCAGGTGTTCTGATAGCAGAGATATGTGAAGATGGTAATTTAGGGTGCAGGGATCCAGAGGGAAGCAATCTTTCTTACCTAATGACAGAGAGAAGTAGGGATGAGTATGCACTAAAGAGCTCCAGATAAGGATGGACTGCATCACTTGCTCTTCCGGTGGTGGGAGGGAAGGAATGGAGAGGAAGGCACAGACAAGCCCAGGAGAGGCAGCTAGAGTGGGACAGTCATTTCTAGACAGATACATCTACTGTCACCAAGAAGGAACTTTATTGCAAAGAGATTGTTTCTGGAACTTTGTGAATTCCTGCTGATCCCAGAGGAATCCAGTCTCTTTATCCAGTCTCCTCAGGTGAGCATGTAGGTGGCTTCTGAATGGCGTCATAGTGTCTGTGCTCACAGACTTGTGCACCTGGATATAGAAGATCCCTCTGGATCTAGTTATTCAGGCTTGATGGGTGACTCATTGCTCTAGCATTTGCAGAAGACCTTTCATAGCCAGCATGTTATAGACAAATTTCATCCTAGTTCACAGTTGGGGAAATGAATGCATCAGTAGGAGAGGGACTCCGTCTTATATCTACATTTGTATAGGAAATGGCACGCTATTGCACAGGTCCATTCACTCAACAACACTTACCAGGAAGTTGAAACATCAGCGTTACACTGGTGACTAAGCCAGAGAGTTGGTAGTCAAGTTCAAGGACCTCACAGCCTCATTAAATTAATTTCTCATGAACTTTCCCATGGATTGAAAACAAGTAATATCTTACATGATGAGCAAATTATTGTGTAGGTGACATTAATACCAGGCACTTTTTATTGGTATAGAGTAGTAATTTCAAAACATGTGTTCTATCTCCTCATGTTTGAAGACCATTGGAATGCTGTCATTGGACTGACAGAAGCTTGAGGCACTGCTTTATTCATCTCTGTAGTTCCAGCATCGAGCCCAATGCCCCGCTCATTTTAAATGCTCAATGATGAATGCACAAGTATTTTTTAAATTATTAGAAATAGTTCATTAAATAAAAGATTAGTAAGAAGAATATAAATAATCATCTTTTATTTTAAACAAATACACAGGAAATATGGTTATGTAGTTAAAAGGTTTATAAGTATGGGCTAGAGATACCCTATTTATTAATGGAGGACATAAAGCTCTATAAGAGAATGCATTGTCCTGGTATGTGTACAGCCCATCTCCAAACCCAGGAATGAACATCAGGAATACTTGACAAATGAATTTCTCAAGAAATGTGTAACATGATTAATAATATACCAAGGGTTCCAATGCTTTTATGAAAATGAAGTTGAAGAAAAATAGGAAGTGACAAATTTTGAACCACAAAATTAGGCCATCTAGAGAATGGCCATTCAGCCTGGCCATCCTCTCCCTTGTCTCCCTCCTCATGATGAGCACCGATAGATGATGCCCACAACCAGATTAGCTGCAAGCTGGTGAGCCTTTCTGCAGCCCCCATGGCACTGGCTAGCCACCGGGCCCTGTAGACCTGAACCCAAACCCGGGCCAAATCAAAGCTTCCTAAGGCCTCAAGGGCCAGGTGTCCTGGAATAGGCAGGCCTGTAGTTTCTCCTTGACCTATGCTTCCTGAATGCTGAGTGGAGATGCTTTTAGGTGGAGCAGGTTTTAGCTTATTGGGAAAAGGTTCCCAGGGCACAGGTGGAATAGAGATCTCACAGGGGGAACCTTGTGCCTTCTGGATCCCTCCCATGACTCAAGAACTACCAATTCCAGAGGTAGTGGCTGAAGGCAGCTATGGGCTCCCTGGGGCTCTCACCAAACTCTGGGGAGTCTGTGCAGTCACACCCTGGCTGCCCACGGGTGGGGCACAGCAGAGCACAAGGCAGGTGGGACCCACCCTGTGGTTCTCCAGACTTGATGTCTCCCTATGACTGCACAAAGCATGGCTCGGTAGACAGTCTTAAATGGGAAAGAAAGAGCCTTTATAATTCTAAGTCGACCCTAAAACATTAGCCTTACAAATAAAGTTATGTGTGTTTTTAAAAAGTCTCTGAGGAGATACCTTGGATTTTGAATCTGCCCAAGGGGAAAATGGTATGGTTTATCTTAGACCAGCTGAAACTCCTCAAAAGGATTGAATTGGGGTAGCCAGAGTAAACTCACTCTAGGGACAGGTAAAGTTAGTTGACTGCCTCTTGGATGTTGTGTTCTGTGCCAGGTACTTGACATATGTATCACACCATCCTTACAACTGTCCTACAGGCTGGTCAAGTGCTTTGATCCCCAGTTTACAAATAAGGATAAGAGAGGGGAGTAAATGGCCTAGTTCAGAGCCTACAACAGGTACATTTGGAATCTAAAGTAGGATCACCTGGCTCCAAGCCCCAGGGTCCCTTCGTCTCACCCTGTGCCTTCCTTGGAACTACCTTCTCCCATTTGCCTGTGAATTGCTGACCCAGTTGACAGGTGACCTGGGACCTTAGCCCAGTGCTTCTTACACTTTAATAGACACACCTTTTCTGGTTCAGTAGAGCTGAGGTGAGGCTGAGGTCCTATATTTTTAAGGTTCCAGGAGATGCCAGTAATGCTGGGCCATGGACCAGCTTTGAGTAGCAAGGACTTATATATTGAAAAGCTCATCTCTGGTGGGCGCTTCACATATTAGTCACCAATATGAAGGGTATAAATGGGCTTCTTCTTTTGACTCAAAGTCTTTTGGGGGTGATTCTTTATGATATCAATGCAGGTGCCATTCCTAACGTAGTTCTAGGTGTCTTAGTGGCAGAGGCAGAATGTGATGGGAAGCATGCGGGGGTCTATCTAGCAGAGTAATCAACTCACAGTCCAACAGACTGCGAGGAAAGGAGTGGGCAAGCTGAACCAAAAAAGTAAAGTCTGGATATGTTGATGTCTGGACTCACCATCTTGAAATGAAATATGGCTTAGAAAGGAGAAGACAGATGAAATGAAACCACAAGTGTGTTGAAGGGCTTTGACACCAGAGATAAAGTTCCAAGAGTGGGGGGGGGGCGGGCAGAATGAATACCATGAAGCACTTGGTGGAAATGACAGGCCACTGGCAGTAAAAAGCTTGCTTCAGCTCATTTTCACAAATATTTATTGAGCACTGACTGTGTAGATCTGAGGATATAAAAACATGGATACAGCCCTTAAGATGTAGCCTACTATGAAAGACAGAGTATACAAACACATAATTTTAATATACTATGATAGGAAGAATGATCAAAATATATACAGGGAATTGATTTAATACTGAAGATAAAAAGATTAAGTCTTGGGAATCAGGGAAGGCTTCAGAGAAGACCTGACATCAAATCCAGATGGTAAAGGGTGAATAGGATTTTGCTACAGGGATTTTAAACACAGGGAACTAACATTTGCACAGGTATAGAGGCATCAGACAGCCCAGTGTGTAGCTCTGGAGCCCTGGAGCACATGCAAGGGACATACAGGGAAAAAGCTGGAGAAGAGTACAGGGCAGTGAAACTGCAGATCACGGAGAGCCTTACAGCGCCCAGGAATTGTGGATTGAACTTGTGTGCCTTTGAACACGTTGAACCCCAGAACACTGGAAAGATAGGTCACATTTGTGCCTCAGGTAGCAATGGAAGTAGCTCAGGAAGGTATGTGCACATTTAAATACCAACTACAAACGGCCTTCCAAAAAGATTCCAAAACATTCTACCTTCAAGAAAAGCCATGTGGTGACAAGAAGCCATTGAAGGATTTTACAAAGGATCTCCTGGTGAGATTTGTGTTCTAAATCACTCCAGGGGTGGGGTGAACAATGGGTTTGAAAGGCCAACTTCCAAGGTGAACAGAACACTTAGGAGAGATGGCAACAGTCTGGCCGAGAGACAGTGAAGGTATAAATGAGGCAGCTGAGCCAAAGGGTCAGGGATATCCTGGAGAGATAACCCTGAGCTAAAAACAAATGTTAAAAATTGAGACTTGATTGGGTGCAGGGAGCTGGTGAGAAGGAGGTAGGAGAGTAAGATGATCCCCAGGTTTCTGGTTGGAAGATGAGGAGGGGGAGTTGGGAGTTAGTCATTTAGTTTCATTTTGGACCATTGGCTTTGATGTTCCTATGGAAAGGACATCAGGTGGGGGTATGCAATGGGAGTTATAAGCACAAATCAGAAATGGGAGATAAAGTTCATGCTTAGGAAAAATAGATTTGGGAAATGGTCTTTGATATGCTCTGGACTGGAGAAGAAGGTAAGGGCAAGGCCATAAACATTAGGAAGCGATAGTCCTAAGTGTCTTTGGGGAAGAGCTATGTCTCCATCTTTTTCCTCACAGAGCACCTTGCATACAGCATGTCCTCAATAATTGTGCATTTTACTAGTTAGTAAAGAAATGAAGGAGGGTAGACACTATGAGCAGGAATTTGATTGGAATTTGTTTATATAATGAAGTCTGGGGTATAATGAATGACAAGTGAGATAATGTTTACCTGTTTTTCAGCACGGATCAGTAAAATTCAAGCTCTGATAGCTGCTGCAATGTCTGGCCAAACTAAAATCCCCAAAGGAAGTGGACCTTACTCCGTCGGTTGCACAGACTTGATGTCTAAGTATACTATTAAGGTGATGCTTTAATACCACTCATCCTTTTATTGACTGTTGCTATGGCTCCCTAGAGGTTTTAAAACTTGACCTCACCATCATCTGAGAATGATTCATTTTGCCATTTCTATTGCTTTGCTAGTTAAGTCATTCCCCAACTCAATACTGTCATCTGATGAACTTAACTATGAACTTTATTTTTCCCTTCCTTATTGGCTGAAACCAGGTTCACTTTCTTTTTGCCCAGAAAGCTTGTTGTTGTATTTCCCTTCACTTTTAACTGTATTCAATCATGACAGCAGCTTAAACAGTTCTCTGAACCTCTTCATGAGCAACAGAGGCACCTGGATCCCCACTAAAATAGCTGTTGGAATCTGTCTGAGAAGCAACTCGACTAAAAATACATTCATTTCTTTCCTCTACAGAGCACCTTCTTACGCTTGTATTATCCATCCCTACCTGAGGGTCACTCTGACACTGTTTGGATCCCAAACAAGGAATATTTTTATGGTCTCAGTAAATTTCTTGGAACACATCGGTTAATGGGCAATATTTTGAGCTTATTATTTGGTAAGATTTCTGCAAATCCTGCTTTGTACACTCTAGAATATAAGAAAGTCTTGAAAACAGCAAGAGTTTCAGGCAGGTAAGGACCAAAATAGACCTTCTCCAGTCTAAACTTCTACCAAGATGACAGAGAAAGTACCTATTTCTTAAAAGGCCAAAGGCCAGGTACCTCTCAGCAAATCAAGCGTTCTTGCTTTGTGCATTCTGAATATGATGGGATAGGTGGAGGGAAAGAAGGTACCCCGCTTTCACACTGGCTGTAACCTCTCTCAATGGCTGGTCTTTGGTTTTTGTTCTTAAGGGCTGTGGGGGAGCCATAATGTGGCGAGAGCAGCAGCTGAGCTGATGAGACTAACAGCCCCTGTGCTAAAATGCTTGCTCATGTCAGGCAAAAAGAAAAGGAAAGTAGAAGCCACTGTCGTTCTCCAAATCCAAAACAAAGGACTGAGAGCTAATTTTCCTGCTCACCATAAGTGAGGAGACTCTGCTCCCATTCCTATCACCCAGCCCCAAGGGACCAGCCTCTCTTCCTAAGACAATGAGATGTGCATTCACCACTTAGTTTGTGTACATTTCATGAATATAGATTTTTCCCTTCCTTATCTATTTGACCAGACACTACTGTTGGGCTGGTGTTAACTGTATCTTCAAATTTCCCCCTCAAAACTACCTACAGCTTTTGGCATTTATTTTAAAAATCTTCTTGGTGTTATTTTTTTTTTCAACCACATCCTTATGATGTTTGAATGATTTATAAGTCACTTCCATAGCAGTCATCCCATTCAATCTTCATGATCACATCTCCATTTTACAGATAAGAAAATGAAACACAAATAAGTGATGAAAATGACAATACCAATTGAGAAGTGAAGGAAGAGAAGACAGTATTCCCATTTTTTTGTGCCCCTTACCATGTGACTGCACAGGTGTTTCACATATGTTACTTACTTAAATACAATTCTCACAAATACCATATGAGATAGTTATCATTTCCTTCCTTTTAAAGAAAAAGAATCTGAAGCTTAGAGAGTTCCTCTTAACTTGCCTGAGGTCTATACCTAGTAAGTGGCAGAGCTGTGGTCAAAGCCATGTCTGCCTATGAAGTCAGTAGTCTCTCCACTTTTCTCTTGACCATGACCTAGTTAGAATGAGAGGAGTCTCCTAGTCAAAAATTCTGGCTTTCAGTGTAATATTCCTGAAGTTTAGCTTGTTTTCAGAACATTTCCTGTAAAGTGTTGCCAAAACCTGGGATTGGAGGTAAGAAACAGCCTTCCTGAATACACCTATAAGTAGGAAAATGTCTCCCCTTCAGCTCAGAGTTGGCAAAGAAAACTGATCATTGATGATCCTGTGGTCTCAGGGAAAAACACGTGGTTCAGGTCATGGGTTGGTGGGTATCTAGTAGGATAATTTTTAATGAATTTATTATTAATGCATAAAAATATAAATTCCTTGGGTCAGGATTTTATACCAAGGAGATGCAAGTTAAATTAACCAGCAACATTCAGGTTGAAAACCCTAATTATAATCTTCCATTGTTGTGTAGGTTCAGTGAAAACTCCTGCAAGATGGAATTCCCCTCTGAGGACTGGGGAAAAATATCCACTGATTGTTTTTTCTCATGGTTTGGGAGCATTCAGGTAAAGTTTAAGAGGTTGAACAATTTTAGCTTTGAGGGATCAATGACTGAACATATTTCCCCCAACAGAAGGAAAAAACAGGCTTCCAAGTGTCATGCTGACCCCTGGCCTAGGGAAGGTGGGGTTCCTGAAGACTTGGCTGTGATCTATTGATAAGTCTTAGTGCTGTCTTTTTCTCCTACCAGCTCATGGAGACTAGCCTCACAACAGTGGAGAGAGTGCATTTTTGTCTGTTGTCTTTCTATATTATAATATTTACACTCCCAAAGTCATCCCCTGTGTTAGTTCAGGGCCTCTGAGAAATAGATACCAAGATTGGATTAGATGTGAAAGACATTTATTGAGAGAAATGTCTGTGAAGGATAGAGAGGAAAGATCTGGAAATGATGGAGCCTTCAGACCATGACACAGGTAGACACTTGGGAAGGAGATGAGAAGCAGAGAACAGTAGTGTATGAAGAGTCTCAGACTGGAGCTCATTTCTAAGAAAGATTTGGCCAGTCCAGTGGAGAGAGTGCTTGACCCGATGCTGTTCATCAAAGGAGTCCTGGATCTCACAGGAAGGGCCTATACTAAACCTACCCAGTGTTCGTCAGTGGGAGCAACCCACAGGAAGCTTAGCTTTCAGTTGGTGGTAGATTCAGACAGGTGGGAGCTGGGTGGGGTCTGTTGTCAACTATCGTCCCTAGAGCATATCTGAGGGGCACGTTTTCATGATCATCACACCCTTTCCACTTTCTTCTTACATTTTCTCATCTGCCTTCCTTTCCTCCACCTCCGTATTATACAACTTTCAGAAAATAAAAAGTGGCTTTTAGCTAGAAAAAAGTTGGGTAGCATCTGCAATAAGAAATTATTTCCAGTTCTTTAATTGTAGTCTAGCTAGTTATTTGATTTCCACTAGACCAGTGGTTGGAAAATTAGAATCCCAGGGCCAAGTCCAGCCTGTTGCTTATTTCTATTAACAAAATTATATTGGGATGTGGTCATGCAGATTCATTTTTCACATTGTCTATGGCTACTTTACTGTGTGACAACAGCAGAGTTGAGTAGTTGTGACCAGTAATGCATGGCCCACAGAACTGGACACGTATATTCTTTGGCCTTTTACAGAAAATGTTTGCTGATCCCCGTATTAGATTATTTTCCCATACTGAGTAGATCCTGCATATTCAGGAGTTGACAACATAGTTCCTACAAACCTCCTTTTTATTCTTTATGAACATTTTTTTCCCCAAATGCATGATGTAAGAAGATTGTGCAGAATGAAGACCTGGAAGGGGTTATAAGTGCTGTGTCTTTGCACATGATTTTTAAACATATCACCCTGTCCAATCATTTCAACAACAGCTGACATGTTCAGTAATGACTGTGTTAGAAAGGATTATAAGCACTGAAATATATTTACTTAATCCTTACAATAATCACACTAGGTACCATTATAGCATCACCCCTCCAGAGATTTAGAAAAACAAAACAAAACAAAACAAAACAAAACAAAACAAAACAGAAAAACAACCCAGGCAGAGGTAAGGTGGGTGACTTATCCAAGGTAGACAGCTAATAGGTAGTAGAACCAGGATTCGAACACAGTGGTCAGACTGCTGGTCCTGTTCCCTTAAGCACTGCACTGTACTGCCTTCCTACATGCACTATCTTATTAAAGCCTTACAACTCTCCTGCATCAAAGCCTTTTTTAGCCCCCTTTACAGGTGAGGTAAAAAATTCACCAGTGTAACTACCTGAAGTCATGGAACTAGGTAAGCGTCAGAGCCGCTATTGAAACTCAGAACTCTCAAGGACAGTGTTTATAATCATTGCACCAGGGTTGCTCAGCCTTAGTACTATTGATGATTTGGATTAGATAATTTCTTGTTGTGGAGGGTAGGCAGCCCTGTGCATTGGAGGATATTTAGCAGTGTCCTTACCCACCAGGTGTCAGCAGCACCCTCCCCCAACTCATGATAATGGAAATGACAGAAGATATTGTCAAATATCCCCTGAGGGGCAGCAAAATTGCCCCCCATTGAGAACCACAACTCTCTGCTCCCTCCCCCAACTCCGCCCCTGGGACACTACTTGGGGTGGGTAACAGCCTCCATGTGCCCCAGTTTTATTAATGAACGCCACCTTGTAATCATGGCTGGTAGTTGAATGCTTCCCTCTTTTTGTTTTGAAGGACAATTTATTCTGCTATTGGCAATGACCTGGCATCTCATGGGTTTATAGTTGCTACTGTAGAACACAGGTATGTCAACTGGTATGTAGCTGGGCTCTAACTTTCCTAAATGTTTATAAGAAAATGTTGGATTGTCAATTGTGATTACATGATGAGAAAAAAAGGAGACTGAGTTTGATTGTTAAGAATTTAAAAAGCAGCTAACACATCCAGGGGGTTTATTGTGTGACATATTAGCACACCATTGTTTAATCTTAATAACCACACTATGAGATGGCTACCATTATCACTGTTTAAGGAGTAGGAAGATGAGGCCGACAAAGCTACACAGCTAGTAAGTGACCTTGCGGGATTTGATTCCAGGAGTGAGTTTTCAACGTGGCCTCCTCTGGGGATGGTGAAGATAGAATGGGTTGAGTTTACTCACAATGATGCCTTTTACTTAGAAGTCTCCTGGGGGTGCTATTTGATTTTTTTTTTTTAAAAAAGAAAGTAGCATTGAGGAAGAAACGGAGGTCAGAAAGGTCAGAGTGAGGTTAAGGATGGGGAAGTGTAAGTAATTGATTCTGTTTGTGTTGTAGAGATGGATCCGCTTCTGCAACTTACTATTTCAACGACCAGTCTGCTGCAGAAATAGGGAACAAGTCTTGGGTCTATCTCAAAATCCTAAGACAAGGGGAGGAGCAAGCCCCTCTACGAAGTACACAGGTACGCTGCACTCAGGAGAGGTGGTGAGGTGACTAGAATGCACACGCAACAGGATTATTGCTAATTGCTAATTTAATCTCACACATGCCACCTGTGCTCCTCACTCCTCCTTCCCATTCTCCAAAGATCTGTCAGAAGAGTCTCTGAGATATAAAGTTCCCTTAATGAAAGTGTAAGTCATAGTGAGAACAAAGACAAGCTACAATTCTGAGAAGTGAAGTGAATAACAGAAGTTTTTTGCATTAGAACCTCTCATTTTAAAACCTCAAGATAAATTCCTAGTCCTATAAGAAAGACTGCTTTTCAGAGAGTGGGTATAGATAGTACTGAGTCCTGGCCTTAAGACACTACCTTCTGCTCCTGAGTCGTGGCGCTGTACTGCAGTGGTGATCTTGGCCAAGTTACTTTTGCTTCTCTGTTTTCTCTGTTACAAAAGAAAAATAATGGTATCTTTTCTACAGGGTTGTTGGGAAGAGTAAACGAAATAGAGCACACTGGCTTCCACGCCGTGACTGCTTTCTAGTCGGTGCTTCAGATATGCTTCAGCGATATTCAACCGATGTGTGCTGCAAGAATTTTTAAAACATGCAATACCTGACTATTAAGTCAGGGGCACTGATCTCTTTTCCCTTAGGTTGTCCAAAAAAAAAAAAAAAAAAAAGAAAGACAACAGCCAATACAACAATAGGCATCCAGTGTGAATGAATCAAAATTATACCTATTTTTTTTTGTCAGATCAGCAAAAAACATTTTTTGGTGTGCTGTAGAATTTTAGTAATTAGTGTATGTGTGCCATGAGATGAAAAATGTTGAAAATCACAGACATATGTTATTGTATTTAATCCCACCCAAATTTCACTGAGGTAGGCAGTATTATACAATAAATGGAAGCTTAGAGAGATCAAGTAAATCATCTGGGGCTACACTGTGGGTAAGCAACAGGGCCAGGATTTGGACCCTGCAAAGCTGGTGCCTCTATTATCACGTAGGCTGTTTTCTAATCACACACTGCTTAGACTCTTCCAGTTAGCTCATAAGCAACTTACCCCTTTTTCCCACAGGTAAGCTCTACACAAACTTTTAAATAAATATCACAACTTTGTACTTCGTCATTTTCTTTTTCTAATAATGATATTAGGTGCGACAAAGAGCAAAGGAGTGTTCTGAAGCTCTCAATGTGATTCTTTCTGCAATTCCAGTGAAGAATGTTTTAGATTTAGATTTTGATATGCAACAACTGAAGGTGAGTTAAAAAAGCCCTTCCCCTCGTCCCCTAGTTCTTTATTGTCTGCTTTTCTATTGTGATACAAGGTACAACAGGATAAAGGGCTGCAAAATAAAATTACAGGTAAAGTGTTCAACAAGGAGGAATGCTTTAGGTTGCACTGCATATGAAGTTGCCAACGGTCAGTCCACAAAAATGGCAGTTTCACATGGTTCAACTTATTAGCTCCAGGAGGTGTACTGTAATACCTTGGTATTGTTTCTGCATGTGTTTGATCTTGATCCTGGATAGTCGGTTCAAAAGTTTTAGTTAAAATGTTGAGGGGGGAAGAATATCGGACCAAGTGGACAGCATAAACAAAGACTCAAAAGAGGGTGTGGAGGGTAGAGAACAGGGAGCAGAGGCAGCTACAAGTACTTGAGTTTAAGTGTAAGTTGATGGACTGTTGTCCAGATACATTGAAGTGTTTGATGCTCTTCAACCAGTCAAGTGTTTGTTGTTCCCCAACCAGCCACTCTCTCTCCTGTCTCCTTGCGTCTGTACCTGTTGTCTCCTTGGTCTGACTCCCCCACCACCCGAAGTGCTGCTTAATTTTCAACTCAAGTCAGCCACCACCTCCTCCAAGAGAAGCTTCTTTGCACCTCACTGCCCAGCCCCTAGGTTAGCTATCTATCATATCTGCTCACTAGTACCACCCCATCATGTTTGCCTCAGGCATTCTTCCCCCCTAGACTGTGAGCTCACTGACAATGAACTACAATGCCTGGCACGGAGCAGGTACTCAATAAACACTCTTGGAATGAACAAACTAATAAATAGGAACAGGGGAGATGGAGAAGTCCGCTCTGATGTTGATGTCTCAAGTGTGGGTGACTAGGAATGCCATTAAGTTTACTTCTGAACTTTTACAAATGCTAAATATACATGTGTGTTTATATACACATATTCATTTCTGTGTACTATCTATGTGTATACTTGTATATGTGTGTATTTCTTTGATAAGAAATCAAGGTAAAATCCATGGCCATGAATTGAATAATAGTTGCATGATTCACAAAATCGTTTAGTCTGTTCTTCTAACAATGTTTGAGATAGTTATTAATTCATATCATGCTTTTTCACATAGGACTCTGTTGACAGGGATAAAATTGCAATAATTGGACATTCTTTTGGAGGAGCCACAGTTATTCAGGCCCTTAATGATGACCGAAGATTCAGGTAAGAGAATGAGAGAGACAGGGGACAGTAATTTATTGGGAAAGGATGAGGGATAACCCATGTGAAATACAACTTTATTGAATTCTTAATAAGAAAGTGATCTTTTGAGGCTTGCAAGTTTATTTTTTTTGCCTCCATTAAGTGCTCTCTGTGAATTTACCTAGGCAGAAACCATCTATTTTACTGCTATTAAAATTGTCCCCCCTCTCCTATATATTCTTCCTCATTATTCCTATTTATCAGTTTGAGGACTTAACATTTGCACTTGGAAATGCACACACATTTTATCTGTGACATAAAGATTGTCATAATAATATTGTCATCTTATAATCTAGACTTCCCTAATAGGCAGGATATTTTTAATTAATGTTTTTCATCTTTAATTTGGAATGAGGTCTGGAATTACGTAGTTATTTGGGTGGGAGTCAGGATCAGACTCCAGTCTTCTGTCAGAAGCATTTTCTTTCTTGTACCACTTCATCCCCGACTGATGAGACCATGGAGAGCCCACCATATGGAACGGGGAGGATCATTCATGAAATTTCATCTCACGCTCCTTAAGATCTGTTTCAGTGTAAGGGGATTCTCTTTCTTTAGCCCATTTGGCACATAAAGCAGTGTCCAAAAGATCAAGAAACACAGGCTAAACTGACTTCTAAAAAGAAAGTTAGTTATATTTTCAAGTAATAGGCCCCATATGTTTTTCTTCAGTGCCTCGACACTTTTCCAGGTAAAACACCTCTAAATATAAAGCAATGGTTCCCATTGTTACTCTAGAAACAGGTATAATTAATAGACCTTGGAGTACCCAGAAGGTCTGGAAACACAGGAACAACAGTGCACGCACTGAATTTTTTCAGACACCCACAGTTTTGAAGAAATCACTACTTTTCAAAAACTTATTTTGCAAATAATATAAAAATGAATAAAAATTTTAAAGATTACATATCATTCTAAAGGTCGCAATTCCTAAATGCCTCCTAAAGAAAATGACTACATAATTCCACGCCTGCAACCTCATAAAGCTAATCACGTCCCCATCTCACATGAATTACAATACGGGTGAGAAAACCCCTAAGCAACCAGTGTGGTGGTGCCCATGAATCCCAGCATTATCCAAAAGTCCTGCATGTCGGCCAGTGTGTAACCAGCCTCCTTTTGTTGTTGTCAATGAACACCTGCAGGTGCGGTATTGCGTTGGATGCGTGGATGCTGCCAGTGGATGAGAAAGTCTATTCTAGGTTTTCTCAGCCCCTCTTTTTCATCAACTCTGAAGGGTTCCAATATCCTGCTAATATCATAAAAATGAAAAAATGCTTTGTACCTGGTAAAGAAAGAAAAATGATTACAATCAGGTAATAGAAACGGACATATTTCGGCATCTGAAACAGACACATGAAAGCTGGATAAACAGCAGCAGATATCAGCTACTAAAGGATTATTAAATTTGTTGTTTAGACTTTTGATAAGCGAGAATATTAGAAAATCTCAGGTTCTAAGTGCATTTAGACATACTCTTTTAAAACGTTTTGAGTAGTGTTACTATAGGTAGCTTATATGCTGATAATCAACATTTGCACTGGCATCCATTCCACTTTCATGTAAATAAAAAAGCAGGTAACGCATTTTGGGGGCTGGGGCAGAGGGAAGTATTTCATCATCAGGCAGGGTAGGAACTCTTTAGAAAAAAAGTCAGATCACCTGTTGAGACTGGCAACGTGTTTACCTATTTGGAAACATTATGAATGTATAAATTCCCCAAAACTATAATGGGGTCCCCTTGAATGTTAATATGCTTATGTCACGGATGTGAACAAGACATCCCGGTAGGATTTTGAATTCACAGTGTGATGTCACAAAGTGAAGACTGTGCTCATCCCTTTCCTATCTGAAACCTGGTTTATTGCCAAGGGGAGAAGAAGAGATGGCAAGAATGTATAGTATAAGTTATAAAGACTTCAGGATTAAAGAATGGAGAGGTCTTTTCCAACTTATGTGGTCAGAAAAAGGCCACTTGGAAGGGATCAGAGTAGAACTGGGCCTTGAAGGGCAGAGTTTAGACAGATGGCAAGGAAAGGTCTAGAAAGGCAAGGACTTCAGTTTAGCTTATTTATATGTGCAAGTCTAATTTGGAAAGAGAAAGTGTACAGAACACCTAAACGTTCCTCCAACCTACTTCCTTACTAGGCTTTTTTTCTTCCCATTTCTGGTAGAAACCTTGAAAGAATAGTTTATATTTGATATTTCATGCCCTTACTTTTAATTGCTCTTGACTCCTGTGGTCTAGCTTCCTATACACCCACCCGTGTGCTGAAACTGATCCTGCAGAGGCTTATAAAAGGCCCAGCAGCCTAATTTGTAGTCTCAGCCTTTCTCTCCGCATCCATTTGATAGCATTGACGACCGACCGCTATTTCTCCTCCCCTGGCTACCCCAGCCCTAGTCTTTCCTGCTTCCCCTGCTGTTTAGACCACGCCCTCCCTTCTCCCCCACCTTCCCCCTCTCCTCGGGCCATTGGGCCATTCCTCGCTGTTGGTAGCATCCCAGCTTCTGCTCTGAGCTCTCTCATGACCCCGTATCACCTTTACAAGCCTGACTCTCAAGTGCTGCTTAGAATGCGGGGATGAGTGAGCAGGGGTCAAGTGCTTCTGTTTTGAGTTAGGGGTGACTAAGAGGATGGTAGTTCGCTTATAAAGAAGAGCGAAGTGAAAAAAAAAAAAAAAGAAGTGCATTGAGTGGAGCTGAAAAAAAAATGTACTTTAACCTTGGTATTTCTTAGCTTGAGACTGGGAAATCTGGGTAGAGATGTCTGGCCACAAATTGGAAATGTACAGACTGTGTGTGTTATACAACAGATGAAACTTTTGGAGTAGCTGAGACTGCAAAGTGAGAAAAGAATCACTCTGAGCATAGACCCTTGAGCAACGCCTACATTTAGGTGAAGAGCCAGTAAAGAACAGAGTGTAGGGGAAGAGAGGCAGGTGCAATGTCAAGGAAACAGAGAAAATATTGCAAGGAAATCAAGTGTCAAATATCCTGGAGGTAATAGAAAATGAGCAATAAAAAAGGCCATTCTATTTGATGGTAGGCTGTTGGTGAATTTAAAGTGCAGCATAGCGGTATTTGTAAGATACTTATTGTTTAAATAATACAAGGAAAAGTGTTTTTCTAATCTACTTAATCCCAGGCTTAAATCCAAAGTGTTTTGATTAGTGTCAAATAGCTACAAAGTTAAGTGATCGAGGTAAGGGAGCAGCCTTCCAGCTCTGAGTTGAACATATGACACATTCCAGCTACTCCAGTTGGGAGTGTTCCAGTTCCCTGAAAAGCTGGAATCATTTCTTCTAAAGACATGATACCAAGCAAAACTGGAATCTTTGAATTATTTATCTAGAAGGGAGGACAAATATTTACTCTAGGATCTCTAAATGAACAGCCCGTGTCCCTCAAATTCTTACCTAAGGAGATCAAATCATTAAGTCTTGTTTCCTTGGTTTTCGGTAAATAAATCAGCCAGGCCAATATCTTTCCTGCACCCTAACTATGAATATAATTTTATCAAACAATGTGATTTGTAAATGCCTCATTTATCTTTCAGGGGTTCGGTCCATCAGAATTTTGCTGACTTCACTTTTACAACTGGCAAAATAACTGGACACCTATTCACATTAAAAGGACAAATAGATTCAAATGTAGCTCTGGATCTTATCAATAGAGCTTCATTGGCATTCTTACAAAAGCATTTAGGTAAGAAACTAATTTTTTCATGCCATAAACCAGATGACTCTCAGGACAAAACTGTTTGTCTTTATACAGCACTAGTCTCATGTTAACAGCTTCTGATGGTTTACAACTTAACAGAGTAAGCCAGTTTAAAAGCAAAAATTTGAGAAATTAATTTTGCTGCATTGCATAACATATACCTATTTCAGACAGTGTCTACCTGCTACAAAGCTAACAGTCTTCCAAGAACATTGGGGTGGACTTCCATGCTGAGGACAGCGATCACATGCCTCAGTCCCATCTCATTCAGATGCAGCAGCTGAAGCCAGTGGGCAACTAACTGCGCACAGGATACCTGTCTCTGATCAGCATGCAGATTACATAATTTGTGATGTTATGGTGCCATCTAGTGACAGCCAACTGTTCACAGTTTCAAAAGTTTAATGGTATTAACGTTTCTATTTTGCAGGACTTCAGAAAGATTTTGACAAGTGGGATAATTTGATCGAAGGGGAAGATGATCACCTTATTCCAGGGACCAGTATTGACGTCAGCAACCAACATGGCACTCTACAGAACTCTACAGGGACAAACAATGTAGATTAAAAGTGCTTTTTTAAAAAAGTTGTATTTTAAAACTGTCTGAAATGTGTGTTGTATGATTTTAATGTATTTTCTCAATGAACTCATACTTTAAAATATAGGCTATATGGTAACAGTGACTTAAGCTTGGATTAAAGTTTTGTTTTTTTAAGTGTAAAGAATGACTGCAATATATAAAAACCATACCAGCCTTAATTTTACTTTTTACTAAAATGATCCCTTTTTTAAAGTATCAAGTTAATAACTGTTTTTACATTACTTTAATGAAAAAGGATATTAAAACAGGCACAATGCCAATGAAAACATAGTACAAGGACATAACACTCCCTAAAAATATAATAAAAACAGACTTTTTTTGGCCTCATTTTTCTGTTATGAGCAGTAGAATTGTGTCTTAGTCACATGGTATTCTAGGTAGAATTTGACAACACTTCCCTTTGCTTTTTGTTCATGGTACGAAAAATTAGATTGAGCAGACAATAAAACCATTGCTTTACTACTGGATTAGTGATACTGTGCAATTTGAATATGGTGATTAAATGCGGTGTGGACAAGTGTGAAAATATTGGAGACAGAGCAAGGGCAGCAGATTAAGGAAAGTGGGTAATTTGTTTGCATGGCTTAATGGTTTATCTCTAATGGGTTCTATTTACTAAAGAAAGGTGCATAAGACAGGGCAGAGAGTCCAGCAATGTAGCACATTAGTTATTCGCCCAAAAGCTGGGAAATCAAAGGAAACATTCAGAATTACTTTTAACTACTTTATTTTCTAATTAGTTTTATTTAATGAAATTTTTTAAAATTCTATAGGTAGTACTGGGAGTATAATATCACAGTAAGTTGAAGGAAAAGAGATATCTTAAAAAATATGCACTTACACATTCAGGAGTCTATATTTTTTAGTTTCCCAAGGGGTTTAAAATTTATGCCAGTGATTAGTTAAGTATAGCATAACTATGGCCTTGTTCCTATGACTTCTCTATAATTAAGCTTAACTGAGCCTGTGTGAACAGGGATAATCAGTGCTTGGGAAGCAAGCTTGGTTCACTATAACTGTCCCATCCCTGTCCCCTCTGCCCAGTTAATAAGCAACTGTGTGTTCTGAAATGGCACTTCAGGCCTATCTTAATGTTTTAACGTACAAAACCACTCACTTGGAGAAATTTGGTTTCTCCTATCCTAGCCATTCAGTTTAAAACGTTTAAAAAAATAGTTCAATCACCTCAGCACGAAACGGAAAGTTTTCTATAATCTTACTCGAAAGCGTCCTTTCTTTCTCTCCCAGTAATTCACAACTATGTCTCCTATGGGTAGAGCCAAACATGTCTATTCATTATCTTAGGAGTAAGCCATATACTTATCTTCCTCAATTACAGTTAACGCAAAACTGTCTTCTTTCTGCTTATTGACGTTATGCCCAGCTTTTAAGGTTCTCAGTTCTCACTGTTCCCACCAGGCGATGTTTCCCGTGCATGCGTCCTTTTCCCACCCCCATGTGCCTAACCTCATTTTAGAAATGGATAACCATTCTAATTGTATTGATGTCCGTTCAATAGCACCTCTTTAAAATCCTTCGTTGATGGCACACGCTGCTGTGGAAAGGAGAAAATAACTGCTGGAAGGATCCAATGAGTTAAGGTTCAAAAAAAAAAAAACAAAAACCAAAAAACACAAAAACCTAGCATTGTGTCTACTGAGTATCTTCCAGGGAAAAAAAGGAAATATTTATTGAATGCCTACTCCTTTCCAAGTATTTTACATAAATTATTTATAATCAAAAGCACCACATGAAGGGTTTTATTATCCTCATTTCACAGATGAGGAAGAACAAGGCTTAAAGAAACTACATAAACTGCCTAGATCCCATATATAGTTAGCAATTCATAACTAAGATCTGTTTCCTAAAACTGGCATCTGTGCTTCCCATGCTCCCACCTACAGAAACCCATGTTTTTAAAAGCATAGACTTTGAAGTTTGATGGGTTCAGTTTGATCAAGCCTCTCGCTCTTTGACCTTAGGCAACTTACTTAACCTCTCTAAAAAAGTTTCAATTTTCTCATCTATAAAATATGGATAATATTAATATGCACCTTAGAGTCAAGATTTAAATAAGAAAATGCATGTAAAGTATCAGCTGAGGGATAAACATAGAACTAACATCTAATATTGCCATGTTTTCCCCAGTTGGAGAATTGTGGCTCTGTTACCACAAATATTCCAAAATTCTATTCCCCTTTTAATGAAATGAGACCACTACACCTTTAAAGATAAACTTTATTCAAATATTGTATCACTTAGAATACTTCCAAATTCAAACAGACTATTAGTCAAAACGTTTAACTAGACAGAAAGGACAAAGCTTCGGAAAAAAAAAAAACAAATTTCTGAAAGCAGTTACAAAAATTGTCCTAAGTAGCATTGTATAATATATTTGTCATAAACTTATAATTTTCTATTTTAATTTAAACACTATATTCAAAAGGAATCAAATTAGGTTTTTTTTTTTTAAGAAATGTGACTGAATGTGTTAGCAAATTGGTTAGCAAAATAAAGATCCTTGATCTATATATATTCAGCAATATGGCTATAAATACACTGCATGGTCAACCTGAGATCTATTTTGTTTTCAACACACATCAAATTCTTCAAAAAGAGATAACTTCTTGTGATTCATGCTCTCAGTTTGCTCAACACTCTGTTGGTCTGGATGCCAGGGACCCACGGTTGAATCTGTATCACCTCCAGCCCCCTTTTCTGAAAGAAGAGAAAAACCTTGAGAGATAGAAGCATAAAAAACAAGACATTTACCACAACAAATTTAATGTCCTCTAAAAATGGGGAAATGGGACACGTGAGTATTCTAATTACCACCAAGAATTATTACTACAAAAATTATTTTCTTTTTAGTATTTTTGTTCTCACAGTACCTATTATCAAAGTTTCTCTAAAATATTATGCAACTGGCATATTTTACATTTTGCTAGGATGATGTTACAAGGCTGAGAGCCAGTTAGTCTATTGTTCTCTTTGAGTAGTGAGTATTTTTCACATAAAGCCACCAAGAGCTGATTTCATTCATTCTCTATTTGCTCAATTCTAAGAAACAGTGTGCTAGGTATGAACGTGATCATGCAATAACCAGGAACTTCCAAAGAATTGAACTATCATGTATATAAAACTAAAAATCCTGCAAGAAGTTCCAAGAGATCATTTAACATATATAGATTATTTGAGCATATGAGCTCATTCACACTGAGAAAATCCTTTAAAACACGAATTTGTCAGATTCACAATTTACCTTTCAATATTCATTCAACCAACAAACACATTTCCTATATTTCAAGAAATCTTGGTTATGTAGCCTGCTTTTTAAAACATTTTTAGCTAAAGTGTTATTTTTTTACTGCTAACATTCAAGGAAATTGATAAACAATTATGTTTGAGGATTCCTGGTAATGGTTTCTTTAAAATTTGGCGATCTGTTGCCATGTTTTAAAGATCTTTCCCCACTGTTTGGACTATAGTCTAATAAAAGGAAACTTAGGGTGACAACCAGGTGTTCATTATAGGCACTAATAATTAAAATCAGGAAGGGGACCATAGGGAAACCAGAAAAATGGCAAACAGCAAAAAGTAATTATTTAACAAGTATGACAATCAGATTTTATAGTGAAGAATCACCTCAAGGACATTTTTTTTCTTTCTTTTTCTTTTTTCCCTATATCATTCTTGAAGTCCTCCAAGATTTTCCTTACATATTTGGGTGTTCCTATGTTGGGTACATATACATTTAGAATGTTTATGTCTTCTTGATGGATTCTTCCTTTGAGGGTTATGAAGTGTCCTTCTGGGTCTCTTTTTATGGCCTTTGTTTGGAAATCTATTTTGTCTGATATAATTATTGCTATCCCTGCTTTCTTTTCCTGTCCATTTGCTTGGAATATTTTTTTCCATCCCTTTACTTTCAGCCTGGGTAGGCCCTTTGTTCTGAGGTGTGTCTCCTGTACACACCATTTAGTTCTCTTTCTCAGGATTCCTCCTTTCCCTTTGACTGGGGGGTGTTTCTTTGTCTTCGCATTATTCGTGAGACTCTTCTTTCTTGCTTCTGCTTCTTAAATTGATCTGTCTTGACTTCCTGACTTTGTGGTGCTCTCAAGCACATTTTCTATTCTTCAGCTACTCATTTCTCTGGATCATCTCCACTGGAGCACTCAACACAGGGAATAAAGGGCCCTTCTCCAATTTTTAGCTCCCAAATTCCCACAACTCTGGTGGTTGGTACATTGTTCAAGGGCTAGTGTGCAAACACATTATCCATGGTGAGCCACACAGAGATGCTTTATTAAAGACTAAATGAAGAGTAATAGTTCTCCTAGATTCTTTTCAACACCTAATAGCATCATGTGCATGCATACTGTCTGTACAGAAACCAATTAATAAGACATCTTCTTATGGTAAAATAAAATAGCTCAGATAAAAAAAAATTCTAAAAGACATAAACAGAATCCCTGATCATAGTGCCTTGATTTATCACAAAAAAAATAGTCCTCTATAATTTAATGGCTTAAGATAGTCACTTTTCAAGGAAAACCACCAGCTCATTTGTAGACAAGCATCTATATCTAAGAGTTTCTTCAAATTTGAGGAAAGGGTTCTTTAAATCTCATTAAAAGCCAAATAAAAATGTAAAGCTTTATTCATACTAGTTTCTGTATTTGCTAATTGACTTAAAGCCAGAGGTAGTTGTGTGGATACTATTTTATGAACTCTTTAAATTGTCTTAAATGATTCTCTTCTATTTGGCAGGTATGGGGTAATTTATCCAAATAGCATCCTATGTGTCTACATATTTGTGGATTCTTGAAAATTAATAAATGGCAAAGATCCGAATGTAAAAGACAGCTTTAGTAAATACAAATGCAACATTAGTAAAACCGGTTATTATTTCTAGCAAGTAAACAAAAAAAATGTAATTAACATAAAATGATGTTCTCATTGACATCAAATGACCTAACTATCCAACAAAGGAGAAATGGTTTAATCAACTGTTGACCATTAATGTCATGTCATGTTATACAGTTATGGCCTTTGGGTTTCAGTCAAGAACAAACTAAAAAATTCTGGGAAGAGTACAAAAGGCAACAACCTGTGGCTTCTGGAATGTAAACAGGAACAGGTACAGTGAGGACTGAAGTAAAAACTTGAATAATAACACATAATGAGTCTGTTTCACAGTTATTTTTCTTTCTTTTATCCTTCCTTGTCCTACTCTTGTCTTTCTTTTTTCTTACTTTTGACCTGAGGTTGGACTGAATCAAAGCTGTCCAGCTGAACAGATAGCAAAACTCGGAGAAATCCCCTATTTCTAGCCCGCGGATTAGGAAAAGAGGCCCCCCGTCCATGGTGGGGGTGGGGGGAAGACAGGGTGGGAGAGTGGTTGGGAAATCCCTTTACCCTTTCTCTGTTTTCTTTTCTGACCTTGTGCTGAGAGCCGCTCCAGTCACTGCAGTGCAGGCATCTAAAAATCTGAGCTAAGACTCTGACCCTGGCCTGGGATCAGGACCCTCTATTATCTGAAGAGTTGGAGAAGGGGGTTATTTTTTCTCTCCTCTACCTGCTTAATTCCAAAGACAGGCTCCGTCAGGCATGGCAGCTGTGAGGCAAAACCGTGCCGGAAACATGCTTCCCAGCCAGAGGACCAGGAAAGAGGATTGATCTCTAGGGGCTGGATATAAGAGGACCCCTGGAGTCTGAAAGTGTAGAGGAAACCTAGGAGGGGAAAGGAATCAGAAAAGTACTATACGTGAACTG